AGAGAGAGACATGTAGTACCTAAACATGAGAGTCAAAGTGAAATTAAAAACGATAAAGAAATGTAGGGATTCAATTAATGTCCTATGAAAACGGCATATTTTACTTATTCTTAGTGTGTTGGGGGTTTGTTTGGGTGCAACATTTATTACGTGTAGTGGTGGAAGTCGGCGCGATATTCCAATACGGTATTTTGCACTTAAACATTCAAATGGAGCTCAATGAAATAACACAAATCAAAACGATCGAAAGCCAAAACAAATCCAAGGTACTTAAAAGTCATCAGTGAGATTCCAAGTCATTTGACCAACCAATTCGAGGAATAATATTAGTTGACAAACAAAACACCATTTACAAGGTGATTGATTTCTTGAATAATCAATAGACTGTTGGGTTAATAGGTTTGTTGCTTGAGTCGTTCATTCTATAAGAAAAGCAAGCATTTATCAATTCTTCAAAATAATATCAATAAAAACACAATAATCAAAAGTACTTAAAAAGCACAAGCTGTAATTTAAATTGACAACAAAACAAAACAAAACAAAATAATATATACATTGAAATAAAACATCGACTGGATAACGTTTTTAGAAAATCAGTTCTTGAAAAATACTGGTGAAATGGTATGGGTATTAATTAATTATTAGGTTATTTAAGAGGCGGGACCTCCGAGTTCAACATCCATCTACGAAAGGACTAAGCAAAATGGGTGCTGAGGCTCGAATCCCCGAACACGCAACCTCACGATTACAGGTCACTGTACTAGGATACCGACGCCACTTCAATTCCCGAAATAATATATTCAGCGATTAATAAAATACGTTCAGCCGGTACATGCGGAGTACACGAGGCGCACATTTGTAAAGCAGTGTTGTGAAATCAGGCGCTCGTCAAAATAATGAAATCAGAAAATTCGGCATTTTTCCGAGGATTTTGCAACTTGTTTTTCAAATTTTGGGGGATTTTGGGCTCAACACTTATTCATATATTGAAAAATACATTTCTGCGAAGATTTCAATTGAAAAGTAGATTTAAAAAAACAAAAAAGTAAACTGTTTGCTTCAACTCTCTCTCAAGCTATGTAAGACAACAGACTGGCGCCATTTTCTCGCTTATTTTACCTCTGAAATCAAGCGACCCCCACCTCTTTCAACTGCAACTATCTCGACTTCCATTCAAGATAGATAAAGTGTAATTTCTTTTATCAGAAGCAAGAAACATTAACAAGCTTTTTAATGGTAGAAAAAACTCCATATTATACCCAAAAATTGACGAGCGCCTGATTCCACCACGGCGTAACACATGTCTTACCTGCCAGGGCCAGCTGTTCTTGCGCACCTCCTGACCGCCCACGACACGATAGGAGCCGGATGTGGCCTTGGGTCTGATGCCACAGTTTTTCTGAGCTAATGTCACGTCTCTTCCCAGCTTTGGGCCGCCGCCTATGGAGACCACAAGAAAAATAGATATTATATTTTCTTTGGTAGAAAGAGGTGAAACATGTCATTGTGTTGCTTTGTTAATGTTGTTCGTCCTTCGGTTATAGTTTTAGTAAGTGTTTTACGGCCCCTGCAACACTATTAGGTCAAATAAGTGCAAAAGATAAGAGGTGTCACAAGAGAAAACACGAACGAGAAGGAGGAGAGATAAGGACGATAGACGTTTGACAGGAAAAAAGAAGCAAACCACACCAGAGCACCCGCCAACCACCCACTCCCTTCGCTTTTGAAGATGACAGTGACTCCACTAATAGGTGAAAAATGGAAATTTGATAACAATCTGAAAAAAGATCATCATTGCAAAGGAGTGTCAGATATGAAACCGACATCGGCAGTAATTGTTTCTACTAATTACCCCGCCAGGATCCTGGAGAATACAAATTCGTTTTCAGGGGAAAATATTTTAGTCAAAGGGATAAACGAACATATGCGACAAAGAAAGGGCTTTGGTCACTTCTCTTAAAGCAATTTGGTACTCGACTTGGCTGCAACACTCCGATAAACGTCATGTTGCAATTTGGTATTTGCCCGAGTCTTGCACCCAACCATGGAAAAACTGCCATTCGTGGCATTATTCATACTTCCGGCTACATCAAAATGTCTCAAATGATCCTTGGAGACGCAGCAAGGACGGGCCTCCATTTCGCGGGAATAGCAACGCAGCGCAACGTGAGAAGCAGCACGTAATACCTTCGCATACTGAGCTTTATTTCCTCAACTCTTGCTAGATAATAGTGTAGTTCTATTCCCAACCAGCCTTTTATCAGCTTGCGGAGGTAATTATTGTATAACGATGATATTTATATCGGCTTAAGGCCTAGGGAATTCCTGTGTGGCCAACGCTGACTTTTTTGTTTTTGTTTTTTTCCCCCCTTTTTTCCTCTAGCTGTATCTCATCTTTTCCTTTCTTCTCCTCCTCCCCCTCCCCCTCCTCCTCCTCCTTCTTCTTCTTCTTCTTCTTCTTCTTCTTCTTCTTCTTCTTCTTCTTCTTCTTCTTCTTCTTCTTCTTCTTCTTCTTCTTCTTCTTCTTCTTCTTCTTCTTCTTCTTCTTCTTCTTCTTCTTCTTCTTCTTCTTCTTCTTCTTCTTCTTCTTCTTTTTCTTCTTCTTCTTTCTCCTACTCCTCCTCTTCCTCCTCTTTATTTTTTTTCTTCTTTATTTTTTTTCTTCTTTGATATTATTATCATTATCATTGCAATTATTATTATTATTATTATTATTATTATTATTATTATTATTATTATTATTATTATTATTATTATTATTATTGTCACTGTCGTTGTTGCTGTTGTTATTATTATTTTTATTTTTATTGTTATTATTATTATTATTGTTGTTGTATTTTTATAGCTGTTATTTACTGTCGTCACTGTCGTCATTGTCGTCACTGTTGTATTAATTTTATTCTTATTCTTCGCCTCCTGTTTACTCCCATGCGTCAAACTAAGTAGGTCGGGTTCAAAGAAAAAGGCCCTATACACATAACTGATTCTGTTGCTCAGTGCCCCCCCCCCCCCGCCCTCCCACAACCCACTCCCCGCACTAATGTGTTGACTTGCAGGGAACATCATAGAATTGGATTAAAGCGGTGACGCGATATGTGCCCCAGGAGCAGCATGAATCGCCTTTCTCGCCACTTGATTAATGTTTGGGCTCGAGGATCTCAAACGCAGTTGTTGCTGACTTAAATCATCGTCAAACGCCAATGAACCACTCCTCACAAAAGACCCGCATTTAAGTTGACAAAGTCGTACTAAATCAAGTGACATGCCCATGGTTACAGGCCACAAACGGGCCTGTGCCCAGAACGTATGCAGGAGCCATGATAGGCTCGTTTTATATATTCCATATCGTGAACTGTAACGTCGTTTTAATTCACAATGAAGCGTTACTTTTGACTCAGTATGAACAAAATGAGCTGTGTGTATGCGTGATTGCTCCTAACCTTTGTAACATCCAATGCCATTGTAAACGACCAAGACACATTTCTCCCTGTGAGATGAAAATAGATTGTTATTTTCATTATCGACATAACTCAAATAAGCTACATAAACGGGGGGATCTAGAGATTTATTTCTCTTTATTTAAACATATGGGCGCAACCCATTGGGTGCACGCTTCGTGCTGCAGCCGTTACAGTAAGTGGTTTAGGAGTACAATCTACGGCAGGTGAAAAATATCCGTCCACTTTCTAGAAATTTATACGATAATATAGTGCGATACCTGTCCATTCGCTTCCCTCTTTCACATATGACTGTCGTAACGGATTTAACAAGCTGATGAAAAAGCCACAAAAAACAAACAAACAAACAAACAAAAAAGCCTGTTTCAGCACTCAAATCTCAAACGAAGTGGACATATACGTCAGATCAATAGCATACCAGGGTCAATGACAGAGCGTGTTTCGAACCACAATACAAAAATCAGAAACACTAATTTGCAGATTTCGTCGAACGCATATTGTTACCTGTCTTTATAAGTTGGGGAAAGAAAAGAAGAGAAACAAATTGGAAAAGAAAACTGTAGTATGAACAGCGATTTTACGCTGGTGCCCAGAAATCGCACGTCTTCAAGAACTGTCGAAAGACATAAATGTGCGTCTGCGTCCTCAATTGGGGTGATAGAGAGCAGACGTAGAGCATTTCCAGCTGGGTGGGTCCTGCTGTTCGATTAGGATATCACAGAAGTACAGCATTGAGCTGTGACAGATCAGTCACGAGTGCAACAGCTCACGTACACCGGAGTTTGCTGACGGTATGAGACATCGGACCAAACAAAACCGCTCCAAGCATAAAGACCATCACAAACGAAAACACATAAACACACACACACACACACACACACACACA